TCTTGTAGATCTTGTAGATCACCTATAGTGATCATGCTCTGTCGGAAAGAACATGCAGAGATTGGTTTAACCGATTTAAAAATAGTGATTTTGATGTTCAAGATAGAGAACGCAGTGGTGCACCAAAAAAGTTTCAAGACGAAGAATTGGAAATATTACTTGCTGAAGATCCATGTCAGACGCAATCCGATGTTGCAAAATCACTAGGAGTTGATCGAACAACAGTTTCAAAACGTCTGACAGCATTAGGAATGATACAAAAGGAAGAATCTTGGGTGCCATACGAACTGAAGCCGAGAGACGTCGAACAGCGTCTTGTCACGTGTGAACAGCTGCTTCAACGACAAAAAAGGAAAGGTTTCTTACATCGTATTGTGATTGGTGATGAAAAGTGGATATACTACAGTAATCCCAAGCGTAAAAACTTGTGGGTTAAGCCCGACGAAGCAGTAGCATCAACGCCAAAGCGGAATATCCACGGTCCCAAGCTCATGCTCTGCATTTGGTGGGATCAGCTGGGGGTAGTGTATTACGAGCTGCTCCAACCCAACCAAATCATCACAGGAGATCTCTATCGACGACAATTGATGCATCTGAGCCGAGCATTGAAAGAAAAACGGCCGCAATATGCGCAAAGACACGATAAGGTAATTTTGCTGCATGATAACGCTCGGCCGCATGTCGCGTCACCGGTCAAAACATACCTGGAAACGCTGAAATGAGAAGTCCTACCCCACCCGCCGTACTCTCCAGACATTGCGCCTTCTGATTACTATTTATTTCGATCGATGACTAACGGCCTGGCTGAACAGCACTTCACTTCGTATGAAGAAACGAAAAAATAGATCGATTCGTGGATAGCCGCAAAAGAAGTGTTCTTTCTTCGATGTGGAATTCAAATGCTGCCAGAAAGATGGGAAAAAGTAGTCTCCAGCGATGGGCAATACTTTAATTGACTTGTTTTTTTATTATATTTTGTTTTTTTATTATATTTCTTTATTATATTTTGTTTTTTTATTATATTTTTTTTAATAAAGGATTTATTTTCACAAAAAACGGCGAGAACTTATTCACACTCCCAATATAAGGAAGCAAAACAAAAAAAAACGTATTTCAATATACAGGGTGTCCCGAAGTCCCATGATGACCCTTGGTGAGAACGTAGAACGGATTGAGGTGAGCAAGAAAGTCCTGTGCCGTTTTGCGATATTCGCAATAGTTTTTGAGAAATTAATTATTTTGTCTCAACAAATCAGCGTACAGAAAGCGGCAGCGGAAAGAAAGATGCCTTCGGCCGACGTGCGACCGTGACACTCGCGAATCGTATCTCGCCGCATCCCTCCGCCCATAGCTACGAGACATAGACTCGCTATGTCTCGTAGCTATGGGCGGAGGGATGCGGCGAGATACGATTCGCGAGTGTCACGGTCGCACGTCGGCCGAAGGCATCTTTCTTTCCGCTGCCGCTTTCTGTACGCTGATTTGTTGAGACAAAATAATTAATTTCTCAAAAACTATTGCGAATATCGCAAAACGGCACAGGACTTTCTTGCTCACCTCAATCCGTTCTACGTTCTCACCAAGGGTCATCATGGGACTTCGGGACACCCTGTATATTGTAGAACCAATAAAGAAAAGTTTGTTTTAAGAATATAAAATATAAATAATTCTCTGTACTTCTTTTCGCTGGCATGCTTTGTGAGGTACAAAGAGATTTACTAAAGACTGGAATATCGTTTGTTATCTGCGTTGCATCATTTACGGCCAAGCACTGGTTACCATTTTTTTTCAAAACAGCTGGAAATTAAAATGAAATATATTGTCATTTTTGAAGGAATAATGGAATCTTTACAAGTAATAAATAAAAGGCATTTATATTTTATGTTTTTATAATACTACAAAATTGTACAATATAATTTCTGGTTGAGGAATTTTGTCGCGCAATTTAGTAACTTTAAATAAAATTAATAAATAATCTGCGATTAATATTTATGACATTTCTGTATAAATCTGACAAATTTATTTTTTACTTTAAATTTTTTTACTTTAAATTTTTTACTTTAAATTATTACCATTTTCTTTCTTTGCCTTGTAACTGTTAATGAAACTATTATTCTTTGAATTGATGGTTTGAGGAGGATGGGGAAAAGGATCTAATTGAACTTCTTTTCCATCGAATTCCTCCTCGTTACAGCTGCTAGTGCTTATTCGTGCTCTCTTTTTTCTAGATCGCTTTAACTTGTCCTCTCTTATGTCTGAATCCTCTTCAAAATTCGTTAATATTTCTGCATCTTTCAGCTTGACCTTAGCTTCCTCATACGATGCTATAAATAAGAATTATACAAATATTTCAATACATAAAAAATATATATTTATATTAAATATTAAAAGCTTCCGCAATTTCAGAAATTGGTATTTTACATTATAGTTTGTGAAACGTCATTCTATTGCAGATATGCACTCATCATCCGAAAATCAATGTTATAGAAAAATATGAATATTATTTTAACAATAAAAAATTTGTGTTAAAGAAGAAGAATGTGCAATATATTGCATAAATTATTACTAATTATACAAATTATAAATATAAAGAATTTATACTTACAGTCCTTGGCTATCACTTTTATAACTGGAATGTTTGTCCATGATTCCTCAGGTGGTTCCATGTTCCGAATAGCCTTATCATAACGTTATACATTTGTCAAAGTGGGCCATCGAGCCATTGACATATCCTCATTTAACCAATTGCTTGGTATTACTTGCAATCTATCGGAAAACTCGAGCATAATAATTGTGCTCCGACGATGACATTATTCTTGCAGATCTACATTCAAATGACATTTATAGTATCAGTATGCAATAAAGAAAATACAGCAAAATTGTTTTCTGCGAGTGTAACTTTGACATATTTCATGACAACTTTTTGTAAAGGCCATATTTGTAACTCTGACAGCGTATGTACTGTATATATTCCAATTAATGAAGAATTGCAAGGTTGTTTATAGACGTCATCTCGATGAAGAAATTCTCGTCCTATAATTACAAAACTTTTTTCCTGCAAACAATATGCTATGTTTTCTAAGGACGATTTTCCCACAACTTAAACCACAGCAGGAATTTGCATTGTTTCCTGCCTTTAGCATCACATTTCCATTTCTTATACATTTGTATTGAGGGTCACTACAACGTGCAATAAGAGGCCCAACATTAAGCTTTGATTTGTGATAAATTTTGAATTCAGTTTCCACCGAAGTCTTAATAACAATTGTGTTATTTTCCATTTCAGTAATTCGTCGTATAATTTGCTGTAAGAACGATTTGGTTTTCTTATAAGTCTTTTAAATGTTTGCATATAATTTTTAAATTTATATGCGCTAAAACCATCTAAAGGACAAAAATTTTCGACATCCTCGACAAGATGTATAAGCCCGTGGACATTATGCGAGACATTGTGACGTCCGTATAATTTTGCGAAAGAAGAAACATAATGTTCTAGCAGCTGTTGTGCATATGGTAAAAAGGAGTGTAATTTTTTGCAGCACATTATTCTTACGGCCACGTGAGAATAGAAGGATACAAAATGATTATACAGATCAGGTCGCAATTTTGATTTTAAAGCTATGGGGCCCGTGTAGAACAAGAATTGGCGATATTCCGTAGCTTTCCACATTCTAGCATATCTTACTGATTTTGGTTTTCGTCCAAATTCAATTGGAAGGCATGGTAACAACTCGTTTTCTAAGCGTGCTGATATTTGTTGCTATATGAGAGGTCGAAGACGATACTTTAAATCACCAGATAACCACAAGTTTAACGATCTACGAGCGACTCCCAAACAAACTACAGGCATGTAATCTTCGGGTACATTCGTAACTGGACCAAAATTTGGTATTTCCAATAAATTGCATATAATGTCGCTTTTATGATATGATTCATCAATTTTATTTTTAAAATCCTCATCTGTTCTTCACGGTGCGCCAAAGCGCGGAAAACAAATTCGGTTTTCGACGTAATCTCCTTGAACTGTGCATTTTGTGCAACTTCTGTAACCCGTATGTGATATTACACTTAATGCAAACGACTTTGCTGGTGTATCACATATCAGTTGAAGTATGTAACAAGGGAAATGTCGATTATTAAATATAATTCCGTCTGAACATAATATTTTAACTTCTTTTACTAAATCTTCAAAAAAATTATTTGCGCATGCGGGTTTTTCTTTTCCACAATAAATTCCAACAGTGCAAACATTTTCATACGGTCTTACAGATGCTAAAATTGGCCACAACTGATCTGGCATTGATTTCCAAAGTGGTAGTCCGTCGAGGGAGCGGTGCACTTGGACACGGTGCATTTGGACACAGCCAATCACAGCACCGTGTGATTAGAGACATTTGTAGGGTCCCTTGGAACAGCGACTTGTGATTGGACTGTGTCCAATTGCCCCGTGTCCAACTGATATACACCCGCATTAGATAGCTTTGAGTTGTCATGAATCACATAATAGTAGTAGATGGTGATGTCTGTGACTTATTTCTGCTCTAGGGAAATGACTCGGAAAGGTATTATCGGAAACACTCAATATTTTAAAAAATATACTAGGTGCGCAACTAAGTTTCCGGGTTTTTTTAATCAATGAAAAATGGAAAATTTCAAGAAAAATACAAAAAATGGTTTGTTCAAAGTATCGTCCCTCGCTAGCTACACATTTTTGCCACTTCTCTAGCAATACATAAATACCGCGACGATAAAACGACGCGTCTTTGGACCGAAACCATTCATCCAACCAATTTTGCACTTCTTCGAAATTGGCCAAGTGTAGCTCAGCCAAGCCATGTGCCATGTGCCATCGACCGGAACAAGTGATAATCGGAAGGGGCCAGGTCTGGTGAATACGGCGGGTGCAGTAACAGATCCCATTTTAGCGTTTTGATGGTGTCCTGGACGATGGAAGTGCGATGGCACGGATCGTTGTCGTGCTGCAATATCACTCGTTCGTGTCTCGTGTCCAATTCTGGCCGTTTTTCGAGCAACGCATGGTTCAAATTGATCAGTTGTTGTCGGTAGCTATGCCCATTGATAGTTTCGCCTGGTTTCAGCAGCTCATAGTACACGATTCCTTTCTGGTCCACGCAAGAGCATTGTCTTCTTTCCGAAGCGATTTGGCCATGCCATCGATGTTGATGCTTCGCCAGGTGAAAGCCACGATTTTTTGCATTTGGGATTCTCGAAATATATCTACTTCTCATCGCCAGTAACAATTCGATGCAGGAAACTCTCTTTCATGCCGCAAAAGCAAAATTTCGGAAGTGGCTCTTCGATTTTCCATCTGCCTCTCAGTCAACTCATGTGGCACCCATTTTCCTTCTTTTTGAATTTTTCCCATGGCATGTAAACGTTTGGAAATACCTTGGCGAGTCACGTTTAATGCCTCCGCAAGTTGATCTTGTGTCTGCGTATCATCTTCATCCAATAACGCTTGCAGATCGGCGTCCTCAATTGTTTTTGGTCTTCCGGAGCGCTCCTTGTCCTTAGTGTCGAAATCGCCACTTCTGAAGCATTTAAACCAATCTTCACAGGTAGTTTTTGATGGTGCATGTTCGCCGTAGGCCTCCTCAAGCAAACGACGTGCTTCAGCTGCATTTTTTTCAAGTTAAAGCAGAAAAGCAAAGCTTTCCGCAAATGCTGTTTATTTGGCACAAAACTCGACATCTTCATTGTTAGAAAAAATATTTTTGCGTTGCGATATATGTTGGTATTATGACTGGTTATTGTTGACAGATGTCCAAGCTATAAAAGAAACACAACTTTAGATATGTATGTCGACTACATGTGTCGTTAGCGCTATCCAAGTGTGAAACCCGGAAACTTAGTTGCGCACCTAGTATTTATATATTCATAATTTTCTCGGGAGCGGTGCACTTGGACACGGTGCATTTGGACACAGCCAATCACAGCACCGTGTGATTAGAGACATTTGTAGGGTCCCTTGGAACAGCGACTTGTGATTGGACTGTGTCCAATTGCCCCGTGTCCAACTGATATACACCCAATTTTCTCATGTCTCATACATAGCGAGAAAGGTTACGTGGATTCGACGTCTACTAGACGTCTATATGAAACGTCTATCTACCATCAACTTCTAATCTAGATTAAGATCTATATCGACCTAAAAACGGTCCACACTTAGATGTCTAATAGACTGTTATTTCGTCATCTTATCGATGTCTAATAGACCGTCATTTCGATGTCGATTCGACGTCTTTTCGACGTCGATCGATAAGTCATTTCTCACTGGGATATTAGATGTCGATTCAATATCGAATAAACGTCTAGAGAGATTGTAAATAATCGACAAAATAAAATTCCGAAATTTTATCGAAAACTCTCTTTTAATGGTCAATATATTATGAATGGATTCTAAAACTTCTTTAGAATTTACTCAAAATAGAAGATGTCTAAATTGCCATTTTTCTAGACGTGCATTTAGACTGTACTTGAATCACAGCATGTTACTAAATACTGTACTTTTAATACTGAAAATAAGTAATTAATCAATGATTTTCAGTGTGATATTTTTGTAAGGGAACCTTAAATTGTAAGATGCTAACATTACACGGAAGTTAATAAACCTGCCATTAACTTTCTAATAACATGAAAATGTTTGTCTATATTCCAATCATCCATATTCCATTAAGGGGGGAAGTACATGTAAAATCGAAAAAAAAAATTTTTTTTCAAGTTTGCTTAAATCGATAAATAAACTATCCAGGAATATCCCCAGAAAGTTATAGAAGCCAATTCGAGTTAGTTTTAAAGATATAAAGCCGAAACTAAGCAAGCGTCGAGCAAGCGTCGAGCAGGTAAACGGCGGCCGGCCAGCGGCGGTTTCTCGCCCCACCTATTGGCCCTTTGTTCGGAAATTCCTCGGTGCGTGTCACATTTCGGAGTTCGTAGTTCATGTACAGAAGTGTAAATGTGTGTATCACGTGTATATCACGTGATTCTGTACTTTTTACAGCTGCAAACGACAACGGTCAGTTCTGCTCCGATTTTCGGCGCGTGAATGTCGTAAGCATCATGGCGAGTTACCCGAAACGCACAAAATCTGAATCAGAACGAACTGCGCGGCCGAGGAAACGAACATTTCACGGAAATCAGTATTTATTTGATACAGAAGATGGCCAAGATTCGAATACAAGTGCTAGCAATAGAAAATTGGCGGATAGGAGTATCGAAGATGTCATTCTTAGCCCGCTGCACTTTTATCGAATAATCGAATTCTTAACGGTTTTTGGTGCGCTTTCCGATATATTATGTTGCAAATCCTGCAAACAAAAAGTGACTTTTGAAGAGAGTGGACACCGAGGCTTAGGCTTTAACATTGTAGTGACGTGTGCGTGCGGTCATAGAGAAATACAATCGGGTCCGTTTATAAAAAATTCGTACGAAGTAAACAGACGAATTGTGTTCGTTATGAGGCTTCTTGGCATTGGACACGAAGGCCTCAACATATTTTGTGGACTTATGGATATGTGCCAAGGACTTACAGCATCAGCGTACAATAATATAGTGCAACATTTGCACACGGCATCGGCAACTATGTTTCAAGAAATAACGAAGAAATCTGTCGAAGAAGAGCGGAAGAAGAATGAAGAAAAAGGAAGAAACGAAACTCATTTAAAAGTGTCCGGCGATGGCTCGTGGAAGAAACGAGGTTTTACTTCACTTTTCGGACTGACAACGCTCATCGGATACTATACTGGTAAAGTAATTGATCATCGTAAAAAGCGGATACTGTCACGCGTGTGCTATAAATAAACAGAAATATGACGACGACGAATTCTTGGAGTGGTATGAAAATCATAAAGATCATTGTTCATCTAATCACGAAGGTTCGGCCGGAAAGATGGAAGTTGATTCAATTACTGAAATGTTTGTACGATCTGAAGAAAAGCACGGCGTAAAGTACGTCAATTACATTGGCGATGGAGACTCGAAAACGTTCGCGGGTATTCAGAAAATAAATCCGTATGGCGACGATTGCCCAGTTACAAAAAACGAGTGCGTAGGACATGTTGAAAAAAGAATGGGTTCGCAGCTCCGAAATATAAAAAAGAAAGAGAAGCTCAGCGGCAAAAATCGACTGACGGAAGTTCTTATAAAGAAATTGACAATTTTTTACGGCTTGGCTATACGACGAAATGTTAATTCAGTGACAGACATGAGAAAGGCTATTTTTGCAACCTTGGATCATTACTGTTCAAGCGACGAATCTCCAAGGCACGATAATTGTCCACCAGGCGCCGACAGTTGGTGCAAATGGCGTCAAGCTGAAGCAAGAAATGAATTGTCAACGTATCAGCATGAAGCTCGAGTTATTGACAACAAGATTGAAAAGCACATCCGGCCAATCTACGAAAAACTTTCCACTGAAGATCTTTTAACGCGTTGTTTAGGCGGACATACACAAAATTCAAACGAGTCGTTCAATACGACTATGTGGCGCTTGAATCCGAAACATCTTCACTCGGGGAAGAAAATCGTGGAATTGTCGGCCTACATCGCTGCTGGAATGTTTAATGAAGGCTATTCATCCGTCTTAATGATTATGCAATTGCTGGGTTTGAAGATTGGCCAGCAATGCAAAATGTTCGCAGACAATGTCGATAACCGTCGAATCGCAAGGCAAGATAAACGGCACTCGCTCAACAGCAAGGAGGCCAGAACAGCACGCAGAATGGAGAAAATGCATGCGAACGAGTTGTACGAAGAAGAGGAAGGACTTATGTATGGTGCAGGAATAGCCGATTAGTCGATAATTGCTGTAAGTAGCCAATAACTCATAGTATTCACATCGAAAACTTTAAACTGCTTTTTCTCGAGTTTTCATTTTTGCGCTTTTTTCAAATTGGCGGGCAGGATTAAAAAAAAAGTATATAATCTATCGAAACTAGACAAAGCGCATTTTCTTTAGTATTACATTCTCTTCTAAGTGAACCTATTTGTTGGTAAAAAAAGTCATTTTTACTATTTTTTACAGCAAGTTGAAAACAAAAATTGTTTACGTAAATTCACACTTTTTCGTTTAAAACTGTATAAAAATTTTTTTTCGCGATTTCTTCCGGGTTTTTGAGGTTCACACAGAAGATAAACTTATAAAATTAACAAATCGTTTGGATTTTTGATTTTAGATAAAAATTACGAGCTCCATCGTGCCCGCCAACTGGACACTCCGTCTTCGAGGCGCTGTCATCCGTGTCTTATAAATCCGCCATTTTGGAATATTTTTTTACGAAAAAATTTGTGTGACATCTTCGATGATAGTTTTAAATATATGCCAAGTTTCACGAAGATTGCTTATTTCATTCTCTCAAAAAAAAATCGCAAAAAACGGCTCGTTTTTAACAATTTACTTGTACTTCCCTCCTTAACATTACAGAAACGTTCCTTGTACGGAACGTTACATTAAGGTTAATATAATATACCTAGAACCTCTCAATATTTTTAATAAAAAATATATCTTGCAGAAACAATTGCAACTAGTCTTTATGTTGATTTTAAATGAAATTTAGCACTTTTATTTGATTTCTCACTATTTTCACACTTAAAATTTACTCAGTACTGGTCGGACGCGAACTCAAGACCTCAAGACAACCTCCAGATTCACCTTGGCTACTATGCTATTTCTTCAATTTGTATTAAGTGTTTTTTATTATCCCCATATCCAGATAGCAAACAGATTTCGAGCAGAACTTGCTACCAATTTTTGATGGCAAATAGATAACAAATTTGATGCAAGATTTGTTATATCAAATCTTGCTGCCAAACTGTCGCCAGATATGCTACAGAGCCTGTTGTCGGGTAATTGCTGCAGATTTGCAGCAAAAATCGTATAGAGTTTGTAGTAATCTGACGGCAGATTGGCGGCAGAAACCGCGCAGACCTTGTTGCGCTGCAGGCTCTGCGCGGTTTTTGCTACAAATTTGCAGCAATTGCCCGACAACAAGCTCTGTCGCCAAACTGTAGCTAAATGGCTATGGTTTTGGTGTAAATTTTTTATCATATTTGTTGCCGATTTGCGCGCAATCTGCTCTCAATTTGCTTACTGGATAGCCGAAGCAGTAATTATAATGTTCTTATAATATTATTTAGTACAACTATAAAAATAAACTATTTAGTTCAAATATTTCATATAATAAAAAGGAAGTCAGAGATATATGCATAAAATATTTATTTAAAATATGTTTATCTAGGTATTGACATTACAAATGCTTTAGAGTATTGACTGAAAGATGAGTATTGGTCTTTACGATTTTTCAAAGTATTTGAAGCGTGTAATGAATACTACCTGGGGTTAATTTTATAAATAATATTTTAATTTAATTTAGTTATATTTATTTTCGTAACAAAAAAATTCTATATATGAACAAAATTTGTATTGACAATTAAGTGATTATTAATAAACTATGTTCCTATTGTGTAATATTTTCAGAATACAAAAGTGAAATAATTATACATAAGTTTGCTGAAATATTCAAGATTATATTAACTTTACGGCAATATTATAATGTAAGGTTATCTTGCAAGAGGGTAATATTGCAGTAACATGCTCATTAAAATATGTGAGCTTGTAACTTCCCAGTAAACATGCATGTCTAAAAGATGTCGAAAAGATATCTAAAAGACGTCTTATGCAACAAAATGTTGAATAAGATATCTTTTAGATATCTTTTCGACATCTTTTAGACATGCATGTTTACTAGGTTATCTATAATCTTATTGCAATGTTCGATGCTGTGAGGAATATTATTAAGCAACATTTTAAAAACTTTTATAACATTATAAAAAAATGTTGCAAAAATATATATAATATCATCATTTTAAACATGTTAATTTAATGTTTCTTGTTTATTTGTCAACAACATTCCAAAAATATGTTTTGTAATGTTTTTAAAACATTTCTCAAATACTTGAAAAGTCATATTATTAAGCAACATTTTAAAAACATTTTTGCATCATTATGAAGAAACATTACAAAGATATAAGGCTGTTGCACTTACATACAGATCAGCACAACAGGTTGCCCCGTCGGCAGGCGCGCGTACCGTGTCATAGTAGACCTTGGTGAAATTATCATGCAATTGAACGCAGTAAACTTCATAAAAACCCAGCGAGAACGCAGACGTCGATTCGACATCTAACTGACGTCGGAGAGATCTAAGTTACGTCTAGTCTAAATGTACATCTACAGGGTGCGGCGCCAAAATCCGGACAAATTATATATTTTTTCCAAACATATTTTTTATTGCAAAAACGAAAAGGTTTACAAAATTTTTTTAACCACATTGTAAGGCCATAAAGAACACATTTACATCAATATATCCCCCGCTTGCTTAAATGACCGCCTCCATTCTCGGTCTGAAGTGTGCGCAGGCGCGCTTTAATGTGTCACGATCCATATCGGTGAATGTCGCTTCAATAGCGGCTCTCAATGATGCGAAGTTTGGATGTCTGGATTTGTTCGTGACCTTTTCAACTACGCTCCATACATAAAAATCCAAAGGATTCAAATCTGGGCTGTTAAGGAACACAAAAGCAGGTTGCAGCGTTCAACTCGCTTTGTCCTGGCGGCTTCGGAAAGCATCTGTCTCACTTTAATTGTGTAAGACTTGTAGCGGAGGTCCTCCTCGACGATTCGACGCATAGTTTTCTCGCTCACACCAACAACCGACGACAATTTTCGGATCGATTGCCCTGGATCCTCAAAAATCAGCTCCTGAGCCCGTTGAATGATGTCGGGCGTCCTGACAACGCACTCCTTCGAGTAGGTTTTCCTTACCGGTGTTGCAAAACCTTCGTTGGACTTCTTCGACTCATTGTACTTTGTGATGACATCATACACAGTCGATCTCTGGTACCCGAAGAACCGAATAATTTCTGTCGCCGAGCGCCCAGCGCGAACACTTTCGGGGTGTATATCAGTTGGACACGGGGCAATTGGACACAGTCCAATCACAAGTCGCTGTTCCAAGGGACCCTACAAATGTCTCTAATCACACGGTGCTGTGATTGGCTGTGTCCAAATGCACCGTGTCCAAGTGCACCGCTCCCATACTTTCGATAATCGCGGCTCTTCGGTTATACTCCGTACTTGGTTTCAACATTGCGACTGTTTCGAGGTTATGATGGTTTAGTACATGCGTCAAGCTATTTGAACGCTAACTGCGACATCTACTAGTGGTATAGAACGGCAAGAATTTCAAATTTTGTCCGGATTTTGGCGTCGCACCCTGTAGAAAAATGGCAATTTAGACGTCTTCTATTTTGAGTAAATTTTAATGTTTTAGAATCCATTCATAAAATATTGACCATTAAAAGAGATTTTGATAAAATTTCGAAATTTTATTTTGTCGATTATTTACAATCTCTAGACGTCTATTCGGGAGCGGTGCACTTGGACACGGTGCATTTGGACACAGCCAATTACAGCACCGTGACTAGAGACATTTGTATGTCCCTTGGAACAGCGACTTGTGATTGGACTGTGTCCAATTGCCCCGTGTCCAACTGATATACACCCCGAATATTCAATATTGAATCGATGTCTAATATATATCTTTCGCTTTACGCATAAAAATGTTTTCATTTTTATTAGAGATTTGATTTGAGATGCACAGGATATTTATTTACTGATATTTTAAGACCCGCTACACTGGACATACTCCTTAATATGATATATCACAATAAACTTACTATAATATTCTTTTTTTTTTCTATAAATTTCTTAATATTTTACTAATAAATAAATTATATTTTTTATACTAATTTACTTATTAATAAAATTAATAATGAATAATAAATTTATTCATTAATACATTTTAGGCCGTTTTTTTTTATTAAGACGTAAAAATTTTTTTCTTTTATATAAAAGTAATGAGTTGCTCTACTGTCTTGTAAATTTTAGCTCGTAATCGCTAACCCAGTGAGAAATGACTTATTGATCGACCTCGAAAAGACGTCGAAATCGTCAAATAGACGTCGATTCGACGTCTTTTCGACGTCGATCGATAAGTCATTTCTCACTGGGATCGCGCGCATTTTGCATAAAAAAATTTATTCTAAGTGGAGACGTCAGTTTCTTTTTAGATTTCCGTTTCAGTTATAGTATTACAAAGATAGGAATGTCAGATTACTCGAAAAACACTAAACTGGAAGGAATGGTCAAAGTCATTTTGCAAATAACTACATAAACTTTAAAGATATTAAATAAAATAGATAGGCGAATCAACGCATGTATTTGCTAGGTACGTTATAATACTGTGAACACTGTAAATATATATTTTATAAGCATAAATTGTAAGAACGTCGTTGGAGTTATTGGAATTACCGCATGCCGCTCAATCGTCAGGGTTAAGCAACGCAGTCAAGATGTATGGATGATCGCTTCGGATTCGAAATTATTGAGGGAGGATTTTAGCGTGTGTTTGACAATCTTCGGTTTCTAGCAGTTATAAGATACGAAGAAAATTAGGAATTAGTTTTTTTTATGAAATAACCCAGTGAGAAATGACTTATCGTTCGACGTCGAATCTATTTGACAATTTCGACGTCGATTCGACGTCTTTTTGACATCGATTAATTTCTCACTTGACTTTTACCCAGGGAAAAATAGCATAGTTAAATAAACATCGCATCGATACCTATTAGACATCTAAAGCGTCTGAAAGACATCGATAAGACGTCGAAATGACGGTCTATTAGACGGTCTAAATGTGGACTGTTTTTAGGTTGATATAAATCTTAATCTAGATTAGACGTAGATGGTAGATAAACGTAGATGGTAGATAGACGTAGATGGTAGATAGACGTTTCATATAGACGTTTGATAGACGTCGAATCAACGTAACCTTTCTCGCTGGGGAAAGGATGCTATTTCACGTGTCGTACGACAAGCTTTTCGGATATGTTTATTGGTTGGCGAATAGAGTATTTCTAGGTTCTCTGTTCGTCAACCAATGAACGTATCCAAGAAACTTGTCGTACGACACGTGAAATATCAGCCAAAGAAAGCGCGCCTGCCGACGAGGCAACTCGTCGTACTGATCTGTATATAAGTGCAACATCCTGTACATAATATCAACGTTTTAAAAACATTAATTTAATATTTCTTGCTTATTTCGCAACGACATTCAAAAAAATGTTTTAAAATGTTTTTAAAACATTTCTTTAATGTTTGAAATATAATATTATTAAGCAACGTTTTAGAAACGTTTGTAGAATATTATGAAGAAATATTACCAATATCATAATACACATAATCATAATACAAATATACATAATATCAACGTTTTAGAAAGTTGATTTTATGTTTCTTGCTTACTGGGACTTTACATCTACGATTACGACGCTTATGTCTCGTTCTCTGCATTATGGCTCCTGCTCACAGGACGCGTCAATGCTTGCCGCGCGGCGGAAGTTCGCGCAACAGTCAATCAATATGTTGTTTTTCCGTGAGAGCTACCAGGTTATTACGGAAAGCAGCATATTGATTGGCTATCGCACGAACTTCCGCCGCGCGGTTAGTGTTGCCGCGTCCTGTGGGCGGGAGCCATTATCCCTAATTCCTCACGAATTCTCAAAGTGTTCTAGGAACACTTGGAATTAAGTTGCAAAGTATTCGCTATAATAAAGTTCTAAGGAATATTTCAAGACGAACTTATTGTGGTTAATTCTTCAAGAATTTTTCATGTATTCATTTTTCTAGTTCTATATCTATTCTTTAAAACGAATTCTCTAGGAACTTCTGTCCATCCCTTATAGAAATATCATACTAAGAATCATTGATAATTACTTATTTTCAGTCTTAAAAATACTGGATAATAAGTAATTATCAATGATTCTTAGTATGATATTTCTATAAGGGATCTCTGTGTTATCTGGGGTTATATTATTGTGTTTACTGGATAATATTTTTTTTGTATAAAAGACTTTAATATTATATTTTATGTTAAGTTTTTATATTATTTTATACACACACATACATTGTAATATATAATTTATATAATACGTTTTTCTTTATGTAGGATAACGCTGCAGAGTACATTTTTTACAAACGACCTAATGTATTAGGCCCTAAATTATGTAATTATAATAAAATAGCACTAAACTCAGATGTTTCTGAATTACTTATGAATATTTTATCGGAATCCATGGGTGTAGTAGGAGTTGTTAAGAAGATTAGGCGGTTATTTATTGTTGGACAAACTCGAATACATGTCGACCAAGTTGATGGTTTGGGCAATTTTATAGAACTTGAGGTTTGCCATTCCTTTTCTTCATATTACCAAGCCTTTTGACAGAACTTTCTAACTTTAATAATTTTATGCTGATTTAGGTAGTCTTGCAAGAAGATCAAGATATAGAAACTGGACAAAAAATCGCTAATGATCTGATGCAAGCATTATCCATAACAAATGATGATTTGGTCGCCGAAGCCTACATAGATTTACTTAAAAAAGTAGATATATAAGTATAAGGTTTGTATATGTAATCATTTATTCCAAGATCATCATTATTATTAAAAGATTATTAAAGATTCATCAACAAAATTTTGAATTGACAAAATATGACTAGTATCACAATTTATAAGAAGAATTAAAAATATCTTCCATTTAATTGAAGATACCCAGTTAGCACAATATAAAAACTGAGACATATCCTACCCTGTAAGCAATCTGCGCGCAGACTGACGTCAGACTGTCGACAGGATCTGTCGAATCCGAGCAGGATCTGTCGACAGATCCATAGACATCTGCGTCCCCAATCTGGCGCCAGACTGTTGACAGGATCTGCGAACAGACTCTGATGACGGACTGGCGGCAGATTGAGCGCAGAGCCTGTCGACAGACTATGACGGCAGATTGGCTGCAGATTGCGCGCAGATCCTGTCGTTTCGTAAGTTCTTCAATTAAATTTTTTCATAATTTTTCATAATTACTCATAGAATAAGCGCTTTCTCATAAATACTCATAAAATACTATGACAAAAAAAATTTTTCTACATTATTTTTTCATAATTTTTAATATTTTCTCTAGTGAGATTCGAACTTGAACTGAAGACATCTTTTTGATAATCGTCCGTCGCCTTAGACACTACGCCAATTCCTCACTTAATAAAAAGCGCTTTGTATTGCCCATTTAAAGTTTAAGAAAGAAAAATATTATAGTTTGTTCGCCTTTTAAGCCGCAAAATATAGACGAAACCGTTTAGCGTATAAATAATGTAAGAGAGACTGGTACGATAATTCGAAATTAATTTTCTACCAAGGAATGTATAGAAAATTACTGCAATAAAACAGCAGATAATGACATTTTTCTATCATGTTAATAAAATACTGTACTTTTACATGTGCGAATTAATTTGGTCGATCGTCCCGTTCAGATTGTATTAAGTTTTATCAAAATCGAAGCATGATATATTTTTAAATAAACCATCAAAAAAATTCTGTAAAAGTTATTTACATAGCGAGACTAATTTTTTATTCGATGCTGCTGCCTTCAGTACTTATTGCATGACGGTTAAATCTGATTTAATGACATAACAACATTAAAAAAAATAATAAGATGAGAAATTGTATGAAAAATTATGAGAACAATTTTTACCAGGAATGACATGTGTACGCCTTTAAATGGCCATTTAACCGTTGTACTATTCTATACTTGTACTCGTTATTTCTCTATTATTGTTG